CTGGTAGACGCAAAAAAGGATTACGGTTGTTCTCCTTTATGTACTTTAGCCTCTCGTCCGCTTCTATCCTCTCAGTCATTGTTAGCTTTGCACGCAGTAGATCGACAATGTGCACCATTATCCCCAAGTCAGCTTGATGCATAATATCAGGCATGACACACAAATAGGGATTCAATATGGGTATTGACTCCCACCGCCAACCCCATAGAAAACATTCGACTGCATGGGTCGATAGCGTTGACATGCCCTGTGGAAGCATTTTCCGCTGCACTAGTGCAGTTATAGCTCTCTGGATTAGGGGCAATCGTGGGGAAATCCGGTTTTTAAACATATTGGTCTCCCTGAGCGTAACCATGCATAACGAGCAAGGATGGTCCGTAGCGCCAGACTTTGTGCACGTCACCTTGCATGACTCAGGGTAGTCACATGCATATGCGTACAGTGCTGGCCAAGCATTATAGGATGCACCACTTGGGTCATCCACCCTCACTCCAGTGTGAGATGCTTTTCTCAATGGCTCCATAACCAAAGATAAGATGTGTTGGAACACCACCAACTTGTCTAAAGCATCGTACTCAGGGGTATAATTGGGTAGAAGGGCCAATAGCGCATGACCCCATGGCTGCCAACGATCATGCTTGTCGATGTTACCCAACGTGAGGTACACCGGGTGGCCTTTAGCCTTTCCTCGCTGGTCCATTGTTGTTTCATCACTCGATAGAATGAGTGCCGCCACAACACCCTCTCCATCAACCTTTTGGATCTCATTGTGCAACGTAAACCACCAATCTCCAGTTTCAGGAGTGGTGTACACATGAGTCTCACCAGGGATGCGAGGTGTGGGCTTTAAAATAAGCTTCTCCCCAACTTTTGGGTGGGTAAGAAGGTCTTTCAGTGCTATGATAGAGTCACAGAAGAAAAACTCAAGAGTGGATTTGTCACCAACGCGCACTTGGCTGCGTTTCCAATTGCGATGGGGGTTTGGCACATGGTGATCAACGTATCCCTCAACGTCTCGCACTGTTTGAAAGGCCGTAAGAGCGTCAATCGTCGCACCATCATGGTTTAAAATGCGTAATAAAGAGTCAATAGTTTTCTTAGACAACTTGCTGGTGAGGAGAAAATGCACAAAAGCGTCTCGAAAGTTGAATTCAGATGCATTATCAACGGGTCCTGGCCCCTCCCCACTCTCCTCACCGCCCACGCCCACATCCTCAGCAAGCCGTTCCCGCCCGTCCGTTAGGTCCACCCGAGATTGGGGTGGAGGGATGCTAGACGGGAGTGGTGGACGGCGCGCCGTTGAGTTGTCGAGTGGCACATGGCTGCTCAATCCTGGTTGGTCGGGGGAATGCAGAGAGCGGGGGAATGCAGAGAGAGGGGGAATGCAGAGAGAGGGGGAATGCAGAGAGGGGGAATGCAGAGAGGAGGAGAATGCAGAGAGGAGGGGGAATGCAGAGAGGAGAGGAATGCAGAGAGCGGGGGAATGCAGAGAGAGGGGGAATGCAGAGAGGGGGAATGCAGAGAGGAGGAGAATGCAGAGAGGAGGGGGAATGCAGAGAGAGGGGGAATGTAGAGAGGAGGAGAATGCAGAGAGGAGGGGGATGCAGAGAGAGGAGGAATGTAGAGAGGAGGGGGATGCAGAGAGAGGGGGAATGCAGAGAGAGGGGGAATGCAGAGAGAGGGGGAATGCAGAGAGAGGGGGAATGCAGAGAGAGGGGGAATGCAGAGAGGGGGGGAATGCAGAGAGGAGAGGAATGCAGAGAGCGGGGGAATGCAGAGAGAGGGGGAATGCAGAGAGGGGGAATGCAGAGAGGAGGAGAATGCAGAGAGGAGGGGGAATGCATAGAGGAGAGGAATGCAGAGAGCGGGGGCATGCAGAGAGAGGGGGAATGCAGAGAGGGGGAATGCAGAGAGGAGGAGAATGCAGAGAGGAGGGGGAATGCAGAGAGAGGGGGAATGTAGAGAGGAGGAGAATGCAGAGAGGAGGGGGATGCAGAGAGAGGAGGAATGTAGAGAGGAGGGGGATGTAGAGAGAGGGGGAATGCAGAGAGAGGGGGAATGCAGAGAGAGGGGGAATGCAGAGAGGAGGAGAATGCAGAGAGGAGGGGGATGCAGAGAGAGGGGGAATGCAGAGAGGAGGAGAATGCAGAGAGGAGGGGGATGCAGAGAGAGGGGGAATGCAGAGAGAGGGGGAATGCAGAGAGAGGGGGAATGCAGAGAGGAGAGGAATGCAGAGAGCGAGGGAATGCAGAGAGAGGGGGAATGCAGAGAGGGGGAATGCAGAGAGGAGGGGGAATGCGGTGAGGGTAGCGTTCTGGAATGCAAAACATATGCACCAAGAGGGCGCCTGGATGAAAACGGGGCGGGAGAATGCGAGGGGGAAAAAGGGCGGCGAAGAGACGGAACCAGGATGGGCGTAGACCGCGTCTACGGGGGAAAGCGGCGGAATTGCGGCAAGAATGCGGCGGGGATGCGGCGGGAATGCGGCAAAAATGCGGCGGGAATGCGGCGGGAAAGCGGCGGGAGCGCAGCGGTAAAGCGGCGCGAATGCGGGAATGCGGCAGGATAGGGGATGGGCGGATCACGTACAAAGAGAAGTTCCCGCGGGGAACACCAGCGGGGAACACCGGCTGCGGGCCTGCAACGGCGAGAATGCGGCGCTAGCGAGTGAAGCGAAAAGAGGAGGATGGGGAGCTGGGTTTGTGCGCGCGACGAGGGAATGCACGCGACGAATGCTACGGCGGGAACGCACTGCGGGACAATGCGAGTCGAGGCGCGTAGCTACGGAACCGGGCGGGCAAACGAGTGCGACGAGGCGCTGTGATTCGTTCGATTGCACAGCAATCTAGTGGTAGGGACACCGTACTGAGCATGCTAGTCATCTACAACTCACCTAAGGCGTCTTGGATGTGTGCGTATGGATTGCGTTGAGTGGAGTCGGGCGAGGGTCGTCGAATGCAGAGAGGAACGAGGCGGCGGTTTGGCGTGCGGAGCAGAGTCGCGGCGAACCGTGAGAATCGTTCGGAGGACGCGGTTGTGCAGTTGAACCGGTTCTATGGCGGCCTAAACTTAGCCCGCTTGAAACCGATGTTTCAGATTGCTTCAGGCCAATGCAGTGGCTGAGGTTGACAGGACGAGCTCACGAGAATAGAACTGAACGGTTGCTCTCTCTCGGCAAAAGCTCAAGTCCGTGATACTTGTGAACAAATGCAAGGTGTTGATTGCGAACAGGAGTAACGAGGTCCCTCGCCGTTCGCAATTTTCGCCAAACCACGTAGCGTGTGGATTCCCCCGCTTTTACCCGATGGTCGCGTGACGACGAAAGTGTGTGCGTCACGAAAGAATCTCTGACAAATGCGTCCGCGTCACGTAGCGCGCCGCGACAAACCATCCAATTAAACCGTTGCAATCGAATTGACAAGCCCAACCACCAACTTATCATGTAACGCTTTACAAACATATAGTAAACCATTAAGGTATGGGCCTAAACAAACACAATAAATACAATCAGTTATGTTGAGAAACAAAAAGATGAACTAATTTCATATAGATAACAATAACCATAACATGGGAAAATAGTGTAAAGTTTCATAAGATACTAATCGCAACGCCATCATAGTCGCCTCGACATGGCCTCATTTCGCAACAGTAGGTGTACAGGTTATACAACAACGAGGATATAGGCCCAGATAGCCACACAATGGAACAGAAACTAAGGGGAAACACTGCTGCACGGTTTGCGTGGGCAGAGGTGCAATATCCAGGGCGAACAAGCCCCCTCGACAAACACCCCGAACCATGTTGAAACAGCCAAGCCTGGGACTCGGTCGAGCACGGAGAATTTGCCACGTACGCTGCCACACCTACCCAGAATCAACAGCACAGAACCTTCCAGGCCAAACCCAACCGTCAACACTCACGGAAACCTCTACCTCCTGTCCGAGGCAAACGCCCCGGGCTGTACCTGCCTGACTCGGGATTTTTCCGATGTCAGTCTCATCTCGCCGCACCTCGCACCCGGCCGCGCCTCCCAACTCGCATCTCACCGCATCACGCGCCGCGCCGCTGGATGCACCCCGTCGTAACTGCAGCTCGCCACAGCTCGCTGCACCCCGCACTTCTCCGCACCAGATTTCCCTCCGCAACAAGCTCGCACCTCGCCGCACCTTGCCGCTCCTCGCATCACTCGCATCTCGCAGCTCATCGCATCCCGCTGCTACTAGCACCACACGCACCTCGCTCTCTTCGCGGCACCTAGCCACCCTCGCACCTCGCCGCACCTCGCCGCACCTAGCCGCACCTAGCCGCACCTCGCGTCACCTCGCCTCACCCGCACCTGGCTGCTCCTCGCCTCACTCGCTCCCTGCACCTTTGCCACACTTGCACCTTGGAAGGTCCCAGCCCCAGTCGCACCTCGCCGCAGCAACTCGCCCTTGCACCTCTCCGTGCCTAGCCACACTCACACCTCGCATCACGCACCACGCTGCAACTCGGCACACTCACACCTCTCTGCACGTTGCCACGGTTACACCTTGGTCCTAGCCGCATTCGTACCGCTCTGCACCTAGCCACAGTCGCACCTCGCTGCTCCCAGCCACACTCACACCTTGGCGCTCCCCGCTGCACCTATCCACCCTCCCTCCTCGTCGCACCTGGGCTCAATCGCATCCCACTGCTACTAGCACCACACACACCTCGCCGCACCTCGCTGCACCTCACCTCACTCTCACCCCACTGCCTGTTTCCTCCCTCGCACCTCGCTGCACCTCTCCGCCCCACTCGCACCTCGCATCATCTTGACTAACCCGCACCACGCTGCACCTCTCCGCAGCTTGCCATACTTACACCCTCCTCGGGCCTAGCCGCACTAGCACCTCGTGCAACTAGTCTCTCCTGCACCAGGCTGCACCTCGGCTTACTTGCGCCTCGCTGCACCTAGCCTCACTCGCACCCCTCTCGCCCCTTTCTGCACCCTCCCTGGTGATTGAGTGCTTGTGCAGGTTCTGCACCTCTCTCGATCCCGTGTGGGTCTCTAACGTTTGAGGGCCTCCGGGACGCAGCACAGGCTGTTCCAGGTGGGTGATGCTGATGATGATTCCTGCTGGCACCCCCCCCGTTTCCCCTCAGCTATCCAGCTTCATTGATCATTCACAACCCCTAAAACCCCATGCCCATGGCCCTCGCTCCTCACTGCACCTAGCTTCATTGCACCCCGCTGCCCCTCACCTCACTTGCTCCTCCCTGCACCTATCTGCAGCGCGCCACTCTTGCACCTATCTGCACCGTGCCAGTCTTGCACCTATCTGCACCGTGCCAGTCTTGCACCTATCTGTACCGTGCCAGTCTTGCACCTATCTGCACCGTGCCACTTTTGCACCTCTCTACACCGTGCCACTTTTGCACCTATCTGCACCGTGCCACTTTTGCACCTATCTGCACCGTGCCACTTTTGCACCCATCTGCGCCGTGCCACTCTTGCACCTATCTGCACCGTGCCACTCTTGCCGCCGCTCCCCGCTGCACCTTGCAACCCGTCACACCCCTCTTGCACCTTTCAACAGCTCTCCCTGGTGATTGCCTGTTTGTGCAGGTTCTGTGGAGTCAATCCCGTGTAGGCCTCCGACGTTTGCGGGGCTCCGGACTCAACAAACACGGTACCAATTGGTTGATGTTGACGCTGATTCTTGTTGGCACCCAGTTTCCCCTCTCCCCATGGCTGTGTAGCTTCATTTATCATTCACAACCCGTAATAACCTCTGCCCATTGCTGTAACTCGGCAACCCCACCACCAGGCAGGCCCGCACCAACCTTATCCCTATCACTGCCATCTCATCCATCCTTGCTTGATCCGCCCATGGTTTCTCCGCTGGCTGTTTATGCTCCATGACCGTCATGCACCCATTGATTGTGCGTTCGTCTTTTGCATTTTTCCCAATACCTTTCCACCAACCTGGCTGTCCGCTTATTATGGACCAGCACATTAGTACTGTTACCCACCATTTTCAAACCCGTCACCCTGCAGAGAATCGTGATGGCGCGCCGTTGCCTTCCTCGGTCCAGCGCCATGGCAAATGCTCCACCTGTCACCAGCTCCGAACTACTGCCCCCCTTGGAATCTGTGGACGATTCGTGGTGGCATTCATCTGAACTTAGCCGACTTCCTGTTCCTATGCTGCCGCAATCCCCCCTTGCTGGGTGGCCATTGGTTATTACCCTTGCAAATGTTCCTATTTATCCGAACCTAGTACACCATGCGGTGCAGGTCCCAGCTAACTCTGCCCCCTCAAATTATACGGCTTATGTCCTCGTCGACCTGGAGCCTTTGCCCCATGATGCAGAATGATGTACTGTTGTCTCCATTTGTGGCTAATAAAATCACATGCTGTCCTCTCTTCCCTTCCTCACGTTGATGCACAAGAACAGAACGTTGGACAAAGTTAACAAAACATCAACGCATAGACGCTTGGATCGCGCGTGGTCGCAACACCTTCCACCCTTACTGTGCACCATATGAATCCTTGAGGCACCTGTTGCGACACCAATCTGCCCGCTGTCCACACGCCGTACGTCTCACCCAACCCCCTGGCAGAATGAGTCATAAGTGCGATAATTGCGGCCTCACGGGCTTCGAGTCGAGGACGGCGGTGCTGGGCCACATGCGCGGGACGAGATGCAAAGGCAACTCCAGCTGCGGCAACAAGTACCACCCTCCATGGAGCAAAGCGAAGGCAGCCCGAAGACGCACTTGAAGCCGAGCCAACCTGCGCTGTTGGAGAAGCCATGTCGTTATCTTCAGAACCATCCGAGCTTCCACCATCAAGCGAGGAAGAACCGGCACGCTCAGCCAACATCCCCGCTTCTCCTAGCGAGAGTGAATCAAGTGCAGGTCTCTCGAGCGAGAACAGAAGCATGCCGTGTGATGACGATGCAGCATCTACAGGTGGAAATGACAATGGGGAGAGCGAGGAAAGGGGTTCATCCGAAGAGGCCATACCGACGTTCGACCTACGTGATGCACTTGCTCATTGGCTGCTGGCAAACAGGGTATCACACCACCAGACGGACACACTCCTCTGCGCGCTTAACCACAAGGATGCCATCATGGAAGATATTGCGGATTGGAAGTCATGGCGTGATGTGTTGAAGCATGCGGATTCAAGAGCGCCGGATGCACACAGGAAATGGGAGAGGCAGTTGATTAGGGCGGACAACAAGGCGTGGTTGGAATATTGGCGCTGTGATGGCCTAATCGCACTACAGGATCTGTTGGCGCACCCCGAGCTTGCGAAAAAGATGGTCATGGATGCTGCCCCCCAGCAGGACGAGGATGGAAATAGAGTATACACTACTCCTGAAACGGGAAAATGGTGGGAGACCTTGGAGGGTGAGGTTCGAAAAGGGGATAAGGACGGAAAGGTCGCAGCCCTGATACTTGCAAGCGATGAAACGCATATGGATAATCGCGGAAAGGCCAAGGGCCATCCCCTATACCTTACTTTGGGAAACATTGATAAGGATGACCGCTGGAAGCCGTACGGGCATGTTCTCCTAGCATTGCTTCCCCAGTTTCCACCCGAGTATACAGCGTCGGACAGGATGAATGTGTTCAACAGGGTGATGGACGAGGTTCTGGCCTCGATGAAGAAGGCATCGTACACTGGAGTTTCCATGAAGAACCTCAAGGGGGATAGTATGAGCATATGGCCGTCCCTATATGCTTACGTCAGTGATTATCCTGAGTCGTGCAAAGTGACTTGCACGAAATCCTTGGGCACCATGCACCCTTGCTCGATTTGCAAGGTGGATAACAAGCACCTTGCACAGTTCCAAGATCGGATCGCCCCCCGTACGCCATATGAGCAGGCATCTATCGTACGCCAGATCGTCGAAAAGGCCATCAAGGAAGATGCTGATGAGACACTGTCTACACATCCTATCAAGGTAAAGTGCGCTCATCCGTAATGCGTTCATACATTCACCGTAAACGCACTCTAACTTGGTGCTTGTTGCCGTGTGCAGTGCTTCCTATGGGGTTGGAGATGGGAATCCAATCCGGTCTTGAACCCATACCTGGCAGTGATGCCGGATGTGATGCACCAAGCGGATCTCGGGATCTTCGAGCACATAATTGATTGCTTGCGCTCTATGTGGCCGAAACATCCCGTCATGCGCAAGGTCCTTGACAAGCGGCTGAAGTATCTTAGAACACACTTGCGGGGGGGGTGCATGTGTTTACCATCTTGGGAATATTTTTCCAAGGGGGCCAATTACCAAGCGTATGAACATAGATTTGTCATGCAGGTCTTGCCGTTCATTATAACAGGATATGTCAAGCAAGAGCAGATGGATGCGTTGCTTGACTACACCGAGTGGTATCTCGAGTGCGCGCGCGCGAGCGAACACACGGATGAGACTCTGCGCCAGTTGAAAACAAAGGCCACCAGGTAAGTGTGTTGTTGTCTCTTCCTGCTTTGTGTTCGTTTTATTCCATGCGCACCACTAATTCTAGTTGGTTGCATATCGTAGACTTATTGAAGGACTGAGGAAACATTACACCCAGGCGTCCAAATGGAACATCGTAAAAATGCATCTTATCAGCCATTACATAGACTCCATCAAGCGTGCAGGCTTACCCGAGCACTACTCGGCGCAGCTGTACGAGCACCTTCACATAGAGTATGTGAAGCTCCCATACCGTGCTTCGAACAAGAGGAACGTCAATGAGCAGGTGGTGCGCAGCGAAGAGGCCCGCCTGCGTATACAGTCCCTAGCACCTCTCATGGACAAGAAGAAAAAGTACGATACGGCTATGGTCAAGGTAAGCCCCTCCATCGCACGCCTTGTGTCATACCTTGCTCTTTGGATGTAACCATGGTTGAACCAATCCTGTGCTGCCTTTGAATGGTTGTAGGCCTAGCGCACAGACACGCGCATTCTCTCTCGGCGGAGCTGGCGTCTACATGTGCCCGAGAAGGCAACTCGTTCTCCTTACGTAGTGCCGTGCAAGCCCGATGTAAGAAGGGACGGCCCATTGCAGGCATCAATCGGGGAGGACCTCAAGCACCTTCGAGCAGCACTGGACAATGCGCCGCAATGTCACCAAAAGGGAAAAGAGATCGAGTACATTAATGTGAGTCTGCACCTCGTCGTCCCATTCAAACCGATGCCTTCCATTCCTCGGCCTTATGTTCCATATGTCCCTCATAGTTGGTTTTGTCCTCACCCCCCTGGTTCTTGCACCGTTGTACTTTGGTTTCCCCTTCGATGAAGAGGGCATGTCTTGCTTCTTTAGTTCTCCTCTCTTTCATCTCGCTAACTTCTTCCTACCTAGCTAAACCCTCAATGCGTTATTCTGAGAATCCCCCCAAGTCGGTTTCCCTCTCATGCGTGCACCCGGCCTCTGGTTTCGTTCTTCCCCTCAATTTCTTCCCTAGTTCCCCTTTCCCTTGGTTTCCCCTTTTTGCATCCAACCCTAAAACCCTGGCATACCCACATTCAGCCCGGGTCCAGTCTTTCTGCTCACTAACACTTCGCCTTGTCCATCCCCTTTCTCGTTAACTTAGTTCTTCTGAAGATACGAGCTCCTCCACACATCATCCATATCCCTCTTGTCTCTACACGTACCCACTTCCTTCCACCTCCCCCCCTGGATTTCCAAACCCCCTTCTCAGGTATCCCATGACATGTTACTCCCACCCCCCCATTGGTTTTTTCCTAATGCCCCGAACTTCTCCACCGCCCCCATGGTTACCCTTCACTCCGCACTGTGGTTTTGCTCACATGCCTCTCCACACATTCTCTCATACAACCCGGTCATGGCTGCCGCAGATCGTTGCCACTCCCTGTCCCTCGCCCCCTGATTGGGTCCCAGCGATATACTTTTCCAAGCTTTCCCGACAAGCATCGACACCACCATCAGCCTTACCCGTTCCCCCAATTTCTAGGAATGTTCAAACCGGTTGCCCATTCCCCCCTTTTTGTTAACTTCTTCCATTTCCATCCCCCTAAGGTCTCACGCCACATCCCCATACATCCACTGCCACCTTGCCTGCATCCCCCCCTGCCCCTGGTATCTCCGCCAACCGCAGCACCCAGAGGAGTCCGCATAACCATCCCCCCCTCCTTTCAATCTTAAACCTATCCATCCATTTCAATTCCCTTCAACAGACCTCTGCCATGCTTTTGCATCTCCCCTATGGGATACTCCATTTTCCTCATGCCCCCGCACCTCCACTCATTTATCTTCCATTTCCCCCACGCTTCCCAGTTCCCATTCTCTGGTAACTTCACTATAACCACCGCTGGTTGTAACTCTTCCCCTCGATCATCCGTCATACTATTGCCTCCACTCCCTCCGAATCCTAAACGTTTCCGTCGGGTTTCCCCACCACTTGTCAATAGGACTTCTCCCTTGCCATATCCCCTTGCCTCATTGGCAAACCCCTAGTGCAGCCACACCTCTATCATACTTCAGTAGTTTCCCCATTGGTTTTTACCCCCCCCACCGTTTCCACCTTGCCTTACACTTCGTCAAATTTACCATCACCAGTCCTCTTACCTGTCTTGCACCCATTTCCCTATCCTTCTCTTACCACGTCATGGTTCCCCTCATCCACAAACCCTGCTTTCTTCCCTTTGCAACCCCGCATGCTTTTACTCGTCTCCCAAAGCATTGGTCACACTCTTGCCTCCACCGCTCACTCATAAACCCTCTTTCTCCGCGTGCTTTTCCCGCTCCTGATTTTTGGATTTTGTTTCTCCGCCATGAGTTCTAATCCACCGCCCACTGAACCAGCTCTCCACTCGACCCTTCCACTATCCTACCATGTCACTTCTCTCTCATATGTCACTATTTATAGCCGGTTTGTTTTCCACCTCCTCCGTCCCAGGGTTTCCCCATCACTGCATTTTTTTGATTTCTTATATTCCCCTGTTTACCTGTCCCTCTATTCCGCCCCCCTCCATCTCTGTACCCTTGTCCTTCCCCTGGCGGTGACCACAACCCATGTTAATGCCAGGTGCACTGGGAGCTGGCCATGCCTGCCGCCATTGGTGCAGCCTACAGTTGGCTACCGCATCGGGTCCGGGCATTGCCGAAACACCATGGGCGAGAGTGGTACTCCGACGCCGCGGTGTTGGGTAAAGGTCCAAATCGGGACAAGGAGTGGTTTGCCAAGTTGCTGTTGCTGTTCCAGGCACGCGTGGGGGAAACAACACAAGACTACGCATTTATACGCTACTACGAGAAGGCAGCTGAGGCTGATCCAACCACTCGCTGTGTGGTATTGAGGTCAGCACCAATGCGGGACAGGTACAAGGTCATAGGTACTATTAGCATTCTTCGTGCTGTACACCTTGTGCGTCCAAAGAGCACGGAGGATAAGTGGCTAGTTAACCGCTATGCTTGGTAAGCGTGGTAATCTTTGAACCGTCCTCTGCTTTTTTCAATTGTGAAAATTGCGTCTAGAAAACGTGCGTACATTCAGCCACCAAATTAGACTTACTATACTAATCGATATCGTAATAAGTATTAAGTTGAACACTCGTAAGGATGCATCAAAATATCCCGCACTTTAGTAGCATGCATGCTACACATTGTTCCGATCACAAATTTGTACCGAATCCAGGCTGCCTTGTTGACCGAATTCCGTGCCTCGTCATGTATCCTCGCTGTGTCAGCGGATGCGCAGTATCGATTGGGCCCCGCTGACGCACGCTGCATGTTCAAGGCCGTCGATTTTTTGTTACAACCACAAATCAGCATGGCTGGAAACTGTATCTAGAACGATCCAGTGATTCCCGTCCAGTCCACATGTGGTGCAGAACCCACCTGCGTCCGAAATCGTGGACGCGAGCATTCGCTATAGCGGGTGTTCTTGACTGGAGTGCACTGTATCGCAACTTGTTTCCCACACCCTGTAAACCCCCCCCCCCCCCACCCCCCCCCCCCCACCCTCCCACCCCCAATCCGCGCTTACTCCGCTGGTTCCGCATAAAAAGCTGGGTCTCTTTATATTCAAATTTTTGAACGGTGCACCGGCTGACCAGTGGGAAGATTCGGGCTTATTGCTCCCGAGTCTTGTGGAATACTGACATTGGCAATTTCTCGCCCATGTTGCACACCGAAATGTAGAATACAGGATGCGCTGCACATAAAACAACTGTAGCCACGCGCGTCCAATTCAAACCTGCCCGACGTAAATACTGATTAGAGATGCCCAACAATACACTGCTGCTTACGCACTGTTTTCACTCGTCAGCAAGGCTCTGCTTAGTACGCACAGCTGATCCTCGGGGTGCGTTTTTTGCACAGCCTAAATCCTGCCCGCCGTCACTGCCCGCGTCATTGATG